TATATATATATATATAAGTTGGCAACTGGCTCTTTTTTTACGGCAGCAACTATAAAAGAGCAACATCGATTTAATTCATCTGCTGAATGATCCAACTTCCGATCTGTTTTTTCATTTTTTTCGTGACATCTTAACAAGGTGGTACGAACGACAGTGTACAAATCATTTTTTTCTTTTTTTTTTTAAGTAAAGGTTTTTTTTTTCACTGCGTTATTTTTGTCGTTGCGCAAGTACCAAATTTTTTAATTACCTGTATCAAAAAAAGTTCAAAAAGTATCAACATTAGCATTCCACACAGATGTGCACGCATGTATATATGTATGTAAATATACAGAACAAAGAGACGTACTTATAACGTGAAACGTGGAAAGCATCATGAACGCACGTTGAACGATGTGTATTATGAACGTGGATGCACGAGGGGTGAGGTGCGGGAAGGTGAGAGCGAGCGCGAAAACAAGCCCATAGGATTGGTGAATAGGCGGAGCATGGAGGGGAATGGTAGAAAGGAGGGATGAGAAGGATGCTGCTTCTCGCGCACGAGAGAGAAAGGAATATTACCGATTACCGCGTGGTCGTGGGTTGCATTGTGTTGATCTGTATCTATATATGTTGTGTCACGTGCGCAAGCCAGAGAGAGACCAAACCGTATCCAATCATGTGATGCGATGTACCTATACAGCAAACGCGCAACTTCCCCTCCGTGAATTCCTATTATCATAAATATGTAAAGTTAAACGTTGGCGAAATTTTTGTTCATCGATTGATTGACCAAACGTTTTGGCATGCCGATGAGCTTATTTTAGTTTTTTTTATTTTTTATTTTTAAGCACGTACGTACAGTCGTTTCGATTCCGCAAAACATGCTTGCAAAACACGACATATAAAATACTGTGCAAAAATGTGGCAACGTCGCGTCACCGCCACCACACCTCTCTCGCAGTACTTATTTCGCTCACTACGACTGGCATCGAGTACAAATCGTACTACACGACACGTGCGCAAACATCCATGTGCTTGATGTTCATGTATATAGGTATACAGGGACATTCAAAAGGACTCTACCAGCGGTAACTATGGTATGGCGTGTATGTACCTACAGCAACGTATCCATCGGCCAAAATTTTTTGAAAATTTATTTTTAAGGCCCGTTACAAAATTGTTCGATTTGGAATAACTTTTCCAGTAGCACGGGCTGCCACCGACAGTGCAATTTTGTATGGATAAACAATAATGCGTACTACTGTCACAGCATCGTGTACCTTAATTTATCAGTGTAAAACCCTTAGAGCATAATCAAGTGGAGAAGAGAAAGATATAATACAAAAATAGTAGTTCATGATGTCTCTTTCTAACGCGCCCCTGCATGTTTAGTGTATGGAGTAGTAGATTAGGGTAAGGTAATGGAAAGCCCTCTTACTATAAACTTTAATCCAAGCTGTGCCCGCTTACCTTAAATATTACAATTATTTTAAATAATATATCGATAGTCTGGTTGACTAAACCTTTTGCTTTAGCGAGGTCATCAGGCTTTCGATTCTCACTGACGGTACATTTTTTTTTTTTTTTTTTTTTTTTTTTTTTTTTTTTTTTTTTTTTTTTTTTTTTTT